TGGTTAAATTTGTTTTTGTTTGTTTGTTTTTAGCTATGGTAAACAGGATAGCTCTCTTAAGTTCTTTTTCAGCTATTATATTATAGAAATACAGAAACTCTACTAATTTTTGATTTAATTGAGAAGGAGGCTTGCTCTGTTGCCCAGGCTGTTTGTAGTGCAGTGGTGTGGTCTGGGCTCACTGTAACCTCTGCTACCCCGGTTCAAGTGATTCTTGTGCCTCAGCCTCCTGAGTAGCTGGGACCATAGCTGTGCACCACCATGCTCAGATAACTTTTTTGTATTTTTAGTAGAGATGGGGTTTTGCCATTTTGGCCAGACTGGTCTTGAAATCCTGACCTCAGGTGATCAGCCTGCCAAAGTGCTGGGATTACACACTACTGATTTTTGTATGATGACTTTGAATCCTGTAACTTTACTGAATTATTAGTTCTAAGAGTTTTTTTTGGGGGGGTCTTTAAGGTTCCTACAAAGAGGGGCAATTTGACTTCCTCTTCTTCAATTTGAATGTCCTTCATTTCTTTTTCTTGTCTAATTGCTCTGGCTAAGAATTCTTATAATATCGTGAGTAGGAGTGGTGAAAGTAGGCATCCTTATCTTGTTCTGGTTGTTACAGAAAAAGCCTTCAGCTTTCTGCCATTCATTATTAGGTTAGCTGTGGGTTTGCCTTTTTTGTATTGAGGTCTTTTTCCTTCTATAGCAAATTTGTTGATTATTTTTCTTATAAAGGGATGTTGAATTTTATAAAATGCCTATTGTTTGTCTATTGAGATGGTTATACACTTTTTGGTTTTCATTCTATTGGTATGATGTATCACATATACAGATATAGGTATTTTGAACTATCTTTTCAGCTCTGGGATAAATCCTGCTTGAACATGCTGTATTATCTTTGTGATGCTGGATTTGGATTGCTAGTATTTTGTTTGGGGTTTTTGCATCTTTGTTTATCAGAGATATTAGTCTGTAGGTTTTTTTTTTTTTTTTTTTTTTTTTTTTTTTTGGTCCTTGTCTGGTTTTTCTTTCTTTAAAAAAAGTTATAGGACTGGACGGGGTGGCTCATGCCTATAATCCCAGGACTTTGGGTGGCCGAGGCAGGTGGATCACAAGGTCACGAGATCAAGGCCATCCTGGTCAACATGGTGAAACCCCATCTTTACCAAAAATACACACACAAAAATAATTAGCTGGGCATGGTGGTGTGTACCTATAATCCCAGCTACTCAAGAGGCTGAGGCAGGAGAATTGCTTGAACCCAGAATGCAGAGGTTGCAGTGAGCTGAGATTGCACCATTGCACTCTAGCCTAGGTAACAAGAGCAAAACTGTCTCAAAAAAAAAAATAAAAAAAAATTCAGGAGGCTGAGGCAGAAGAATTGCCTGAACCCAGGAGGCGGAGGTTGCAGTGAGCTGAGATTGCGCCATTGCACTCCAGCTTGGGTAACGAGCGAAACTCCATCTTAAAAAAAAAAAAAGAAATTAAAGTTCTGGGATACATGTGCAGAAAGTGCAGGTTTGTTATATAGGTATACATGTGCCATGGTGGTGTGCTGCACCCATCAACTCATCATCTACATTAGGTATTTGTCCTAATGCTATCTCTCCCCTAGCTCTCCACCCTCCAACAGGCCCCGATGTGTGATGTTCCCTTCCTTGTGTACATGTGTTCTCATTGTTCACCTCCCACTCATGAGTGAGAACATGTGGTGTTTGATTTTCTGCTCCTGTGTTAGTCTGTTGAGAATGATTGTTTTCAGCATCATCCATGTCCCTGCAAAGGACATGAACTCATCCTTATTTATGGCTGCATAGTATTCCATGATGTATATATGCCCCATTTTATTTATCCAGTCTATCAATGGGCATTTGGGTTGGTTCCAAGTCTTAGCTATTATGAACAGTATTCAATAAACATAAATGTGGATGTATCTTTAGGTAGAATGATTTATAATCCTTTGGATATATACCCAGTAATGTGATTGCTGGGTCAAATGATATTTCTGGTTCTAGATCCTTGAGGAATCGCCATACTGTCTTCCACAATGGTTGAACTAATATACACTCCCACCAACAGTGTAAAAGTGTTCCCATTTCTCCACATCCTCTCCAACATCTGTTGTTTCCAGACTTTTTAATGATAACCATTCTAACTGGTGTTAGATGGTATCTCATTGTGGTTTTGATTCGCATTTCTCTAATGACCAGTGATGATGAGCTTTCTTTCATATGTTTTTTGGCCACATATACTTCTCTTTTGAGAAGTATCTGTTCATATCCTTTGCCCAATTTTTGACGTTTTTTTTTCATGTAAATTTGTTTAAGTTCCTTGTAGATTCTGGATATTAGCCCTTTGTCAGATGGGTAAATTACAAACATTTTCTGCCCTTCTGTAGGTTGCCTGTTCACTCTGATGGTAGTTTCTTTTGCCATGCAGAAACTCTTCAGTTTAATTGGATCCCATTTGTCTATTTTGGCTTTCTTTGCCATTGCTTTTGGTGTTTTAGTCATGAAATCTTCACCCATGCCTATGTCCTGAATGGTATGGCCTAGGTTTTTTTCTAGGGTTTTTATGGTTTTAGGTATTACTTTTAAGTCTTTAATCCATCTTGAGTTAATTTTTGTATAAGGTGTAAGGAAGTGGGGTAGTTCATTTTCTGTTACATTTCAGCGGTGAAGCCATCAGCTCATGTACTTTTCTTTGTTGGTAAATTTTTATTACTCATTCAATCTTGTTACTTGTTGAACTGCTCTGGTGTTAGGTGTATATATATTTACAATTGCAATATCTTCTTGCTGAATTTCTTTTTGTCATTACATAATGACATTCTTTGTCACTTTTTATGTTTTTAAATTTAAAGTATATTTTGTCTGATGTAAGTATAGCTACTCCTACATGCTTTTGGTTTTCGTTTGCATGGAATATCTATGTCTTCACTTTCAGTCTATATGCATCTTTATAGAAGTGAGTTTCCTGTAGACAGCAAAAGCATATGGCTTTTGTTTCTTATCCATTTATCCAATCTATATCTTTTCATTGAGAAATTTATACTATTTGTAGTCATACTGTTATTGACAGGCAAGGACTTATTCCTATCATTTTGTTAATGATTTTATGGTTCTTTTAAAAATATATTCCTTTTTGTCTTACAGTTTATCCTTGTGGCTTTTTCATAGTGAAAAGTTTTGATTCTTTTATCTTTGTCAGTGATTTATGTATCTGTTCTACAAGTGGTTTTTATACTTTTCATAATGGAAGATATGATCTTGTCACTTCTACAGATAGAACTATCTTAAAATTTTTTGTAGGGTTGGTCTTAGTGGTGATAAATTCCTTCAGTTTTACTCATCTGGGACAGACTTCATCTACTTTTTTCCTGAGATTGCTTTGCTAAATATGGTATTGTCTGGCAGTTATTTTTCTCTTGGCATCTAAAATATATCATCCCATTTTTTTCTATTGAGAAAACCTTCATGAGTCTGATGGGGATTCCATTATATGTGACTTGATGCTTTTCCCTTGCTTTTTTTAGAATTCTTTTTTATGTTTAACAGTTTCACTATAATGTATTTCAAAGAAAACCTTTTGGGTTAACCCTACTTATGGGTCTTCGAGCTTCCTTTATCTGGATGTCTATATTTGCGTTCAAGACTTGGGAAATTTTCATCTACAAGTTCATTATGTTTTCTATGTCATTTCCCATATCATCTTCTGGAACTCCTAAAATGCAATTTTTTTCCACTTAATGGTCTCCTATATAGCATATAGACTTTCTCTATCCTTTTTCATTCTTTTTTGTATGACTGGGTTATTTCAAGAAGAAACCCTTCTTCAAGTTGAAGAATTCTTTTATCTGCTTGATCTAGTCTATTGAAGTTTTCAATTATATTTTTATTGATTGATTCAATTTCTCATTCAGATCATAAAATGTTTTCCAAATTTTGTTAAATTATCCATCTATGTTCTTGTGTAATCTGCTGAATTTTCTTAAAATCTTTATATTCTTCAGGTTTCTTCTTCATAAATTTTTTTCATTTGTGTCAACTGCTATAGGATTGTTTCTTTGAAGGTGTCATGTTTTTCACTTTTCTTCTGTTTCTATGTTGATATCTATGCATTTGAATAAAACAGTCACTTCTTTCCAATTGTACAGAGAAGATTTTGTAGGAAATTATTTTTCCCTTTTGATGTATCTGTAAGTGTCAGTTGGGTAGGGTGCTTTTTGTTGCTGGGCACGGTGATATAGTCTCTGTGATTTCTTTAGCTGTAATGAATGTTCATGTTGTGAGTGCCTCAGTGATAGAGGCTATTGTTTGTGGAGGCTGTGGCATGGCTTTTCTTGAAATAAGAACACAGAAAAGCCTGGGTTTGTGGCTTCTGGGGGGAACATGAAGGTGTACAGCTACAAGACAGGGCAGGGTTGCCAGCAATGATTGGCCACAGATCAGTTAGGTCATGGTGTGTGCAGGTGCCAGTAGTGGTGGCAGCCAATCCTGGGTGGTGAGCCTTATTTTTTAATAGAATAGGCCAGTAAGAAAAGCATAGACATAATTTGTTTTTAGGGGCTCAGAAATATAGGAAATAAAATGAGGTGAGAAAATTTATGAAGACATAAAATATTCAAATGGCAGTACAATAGAAATATGTAGAGTAAAAGTTACATAAAGTTTGAGAGCTGGGGTAGAGAATATAAGGCTAAATATATACAGAAGAATGAGATAGCCTCACCTAGTGGTTGCGAGTACAGTTTCTGAAGTCAGACCTGGATTTGAATCCCAGCTCTCTTATTCATCAGAGATGTAGCTTTATGAATGTTACTTAAGAGGTGCTAGCCTAATTTCTTCATTTATTAAAGAGAATGGTAAACTACCCTCATAGAATTTCACAAAGCTTTCCAATGAAATTGTGAATGTATGTAACTTGGTATGAAGACTGGTACAGAGTAAGTGTTCAATAAAATGCTGGTGAAAATTATCTTGAAATAAAGTACTCACACTCTGAAGAAGAGTAAACAGAAGGCACAATTTATTTAGTAGACAATAATAGGAAGCTTAGGTCTAAGAAATGGCACAGAAAACGCTAAAAGTTATGGTGAACCATAGTATCTGAAAAAAAAATTAGTGCACATTGATTTTTCAGTGGAAAGTATATTTATAAATAAGAAATTCTTGGCTGGGCATGGTGGCCCATGCCTGTAATACCAGCACTTTTGGAGGCCAACGTGGGCAGGTCAGGAGTTTGAGACGAGCCTGGCCAACATGGTACAACTCCTTCTCTACTAACAATACAAAAAATTAGCCGAATGTGGTGGGACACACCTGTAATCCCAGCTACTTTGGAGGCTCAGGCAGGAGAATCGCTTCAACCTAGGAGGTGGAGGTTGCAGTGAGCTGAGATTGTGCCATTGCACTCCATCCTGGGCAACAGGGTGAGACTCCATCTAAAAAAAAAGAAAAAAGAATATTCTTTTGTTGAAGGCTATATAAAATTTAACATTAATCCTTAGATTACATTTTGAGTTACAGCCAATTCTAGGTAAATTTTTTATGAATTGGCTCTTTTTCTTCCTTGCTGCACTAGTTTTGGCCATTTAACTACTTAAGATTTTTACCAAAAGTACATACATGAAGACGAGGTTAAAAGTCAAATAATCTTGAATTGCCAGGTGGTTATAATGCTACCAGGTAAAGAATAATCACAGCACCTGCTCAATTAAAAACACACTCTGAGTATGTTAGACAATTTTGATCCTAGTTCCTAGTGAAATCTTTAGACACTATGCCTCCAACATGATCTGCCCCAGGTGCATATGCTCAATTTCATGAAATGAAGCATTTGAAGGTTATCAAGTATAAACATTGTGTCAGGATACAGAGGTTTTAAATAAGAACCAGTGTCTCATTATGCTACTGGTAGCTAGTCAGACATAAGCAAGGGCTCCCCACCAGGAATGTCAGGTGACAATCAAATGATGGTCAGGCAGTTGTCGCACTCTCTCTCTAAAATAACTGGTCACAGCTGGTGGTAGAGAAAGGCAGTGTCCTGATAGAAACACCTAAAATGTGACCAGCAGCTTCCTGTTAAGATCTCAGGAGGTGGGTGAGTGGGCTCACACATGCACACTAAGAGGCAAAGTGGCAGAATTTAACAGGTATGTTACCTACTAAAGACATCTGACTGGTAAGGGAAGAACGCTTCAAGTGAGTATGCATACAGCTTTAGTAAGCACACTGTGCTACTAAATTTACGACAACATTCTGTGAATAAATACACAGTTCTAAAAAAAAATTGTGTAACCCCACAGAAGTCAGGAAAAAGGAGACATACAATAGAACAAAAAACAAAATGGTAGACTTATGTCCTGATATATCAACAATTTGACTAAATGGTGTAAAGTGTTCCAGTTAAAAGACAACAACTGGCAAAGGAGAACATCCCAACTCTGTGTGCTTTGTAAGAAACTCATTTCAAATAAAATTACACAGGCATGTTGAAAGTAGAAAAATGGAAAATATGTCATGCATCAAAAGAAAGCATGAATGGCCATATTATTATTGGATAAAGTAGACTTCAGAGCCACAAAAACTTCCAGAAACAGAGAGAAACATTATACAATGATAAAGGACCAGTCCACCAAAAGAATGTAGCAACTACAAATAAGTAATAAGCAACTGAGCTATGAAATATGAAGCAAAAAGTAATAAAACTGAAATGAGAAATAGAGACATCTACATACATATCCGGAGACTTAAACACTGCTTTCTCAATATTTGATGGAACTCCATGGATACTCATCAAGAATATGGAAGAATTCAGCATTATCATTCAACAGAATCTAATCAGCATTTCTAGAACACTCCATCCAACAACAAAATAAATGTACTTTTCAAGTATCCATAGAATATGTACTAAAACAGATGGCTTGAACCATAGAAAAGCTCAAAAATTTAAAATAATAGAAAGTATGTAAAATGTGTTCTTCAATTGCAAGGAAACGTACGTAGAAATCAATGACAGGAAAAGGAAAATCTCAAAATGCTTAAAAACAAAACAGACATTTATATTATCCATGAGTCAAAGGCTAACTCTCCAAAGAAGTTAAACACTGCATTAAATTTAATACAAATGAAGATTTAACATAAGATTTGTGTAACATAGCTAAAGCAGAGAGGGAAATTATAGCACTAAATACACATATTAGTCAAGATTAAAACAAAATCCAAAGAAAGTGTAAGGAATGAAATAATTACTAGCAGAATTCAATGAAATTGGAAACAAAATAATTGTCAATAAACCAAAGCTGTTTCTTAAATAGGTCAATAAGTTTGAGAAAATTTTATCAAAGACACAACATACCCGTATCAGTAATAAAATAGGAATTATCACTACAGACCCTGGGGACATCAATAGCATAATAATGAACAATCATATGCACATAAGAGTTTAGATGAAATGGACTGCTACTTTGAACAACACAAACTACCACAACGTGCCCAATATATGTAATAGATCATTTGAACAGCTATTAAGGAAGTTAAAAATCTGTATTTTAAAATGACCCCCCCCATGTTTAGAAATCAATAAATTGTGATGGTTTCTAGGTAAATGTATACAGAAATAAGGCTGGTTTAATATTTAAAAATTAATGTATCCTATATTAACAGGCTAAAAAATTATGTCAGTGAAAGCAGAAAAACATTTGACAAAATTCATCACCCATTCATAATGAAAACTCACAGAAAAGAAATGAGGTAAAATTTCTAACTTAATAAAGGGGATCTACAATAACCCTATAGCTAATGCTAAATGATAAAAGACTGAAAACTTCCCTCTAGAACTGAGAACAAGAAAAAGATGTTCATTCTTGCTACTCTTTTTCAACATAGTACTGGTAGGTCTACCCTGTGCAATAAGGTGAGAAATAAAAATTAAAGGGCACATTTTGCAGGATGGATTAAACTATTCCTGTTTGTAAGGACATAATTTTCCATGTAGAAAATTCCAAGGCATGCACCAGAAACAAAACCCTCCTGGAACTGAGTGAGTTTGACAGAGTCACAGGGTACAATATAAACATATAGAAATCAATTTTATCTATATACTGGCAGTAAGTAGACACAAAAATTACAGTATTGTTTAGGAAATTAAAACACAGGTGTAGATCTATAAAACATGTACAGGACTTGGGAAAAACTATACAACACTGATAAAACAAATTCAAGGTCAATATAAGAGATATTATGTGTTCATGGATTTGAACACCCAGCAGAGTAAAGATGTCCTCAATTAGCATACATACTTACTACAATTCTTATAAATAATCCAAGGGTTTTTTTTTTTTTTTTTGCAGTTACAGATAAGAAAGAATGCTGGAATAATAAGGTAAAAGGAATATGTCTATGTGATTTCAACACCTTATATAGCTACAGTAATCAACTGTATAATCAATATATTGATATAGCCCAGTAAAACAGAGTAGATGACCAATCAATACAATTATACAAGTATGCCCAACTCATTTTCAAAGGTAAAAAAGCAATTCAATGGAAGAAAGATAGCCTTTTAAACAAATGGTGCTGGAGGAATTACACATTTATACTCCACGCCCACCTTTCAAAATTCTCAAACTATCACACTTATAAAAAATAAACTCTAAATGGTTCAAAAACTTCGATTTAAACAAAGTTATAAAACTTTTAGGGAAAAGATCTAGGTCAAAACAGAGTTCTTACACTTACAACAAAAAGCACAATTCATAACAAAAAACATAAATTGGATTTCATCAAAATTTAAGAATTTGCCTTATGAAACATCCTCTTTTAAAAATTAAAAGACAGAGTACAAAATGGGAGAGAATATTTGCAAATGATGTATCTGACAAATAGCTAGTATCCAGAATATGTAAAAAACTCTCAACTCAACAGTAAAAAATAATCTTATTTAAAAATGGGCAAAAGGCATGTCACATTTCACTGAAAATGATATACTGATGGCAAATAAACACATAAGATGTTTGATATCAGCAGTAAATGCAAACTAAAACCACCATGAGATATTACTACATACCTATCAGAATGGCTAAAGTAAAAATATTGACAATAAATGCTGGCGGATGCAGATATGTTAACTGATGTGTTGTTGGGAATATGAAATTATATAGCCACTCTGGAAAACTGTTTGGCAGTTTCTTAAATAATTAAACATGCAACTACCGTAAGACCCAATAATATGGGGCATTTGTCTATCCTAGTTTTTGTGTTTACACAAAACCCAGCATGAGAATGTATGTTAATTTTATTTTGGCTCATAAGAGCCAAAAACTAGAAACAACTCAATGCTGATAGGTGAATTGTTAAAATAACTGTGGCAAATTCATACCATGGCATAGTATTCAGTGCTCAAAAGGAGCAATGATTTAATTCTCACTACAACTGGGGTAAGTTTCCAGAGAACTAAACTGAGTGAAAAAACCCCTAATCTCCAAAGGTCATATGATGTATGACTCCACTGATAACACCTTTGCAAAATGACGTATTTATAAAAATGGAGAACAGATTAGTGGTTGCAATGAAGTAAAAGGGAAGTGAGCATACCTACAAAAGGGTAACATGAAGGATCCTGTGGGAATGGAAATGTTCTGTATCTTCACAGTACTAACGAAAATATCCTGTTCGTGGCACTGCACTACAGTTTTGCAAGATGCTACCATTGGGGGAAACTGCAAAGGATACACAGATTCTCTTTGTATTGTTTCTTACCACTGCATGCAAATATACAGTTATATCAAAATAAAGGTATAATTTAAAAAAGAGAACAAAACTGGAGAACTTATAGATCTTTCCAACATTTTCTATAAAGCAACAGTAATGAAGAGTGTCAATTATATAACTTTTGTGGCTAAAAAACCCACAACAAAGTTTACCATCTTAAGTGTACAGATTAATAATGCCACATCACATTTTGTTTATTCATCTATTGATGAACATTTAAATTGCATCCACCTCATAGATGGTAGATAATGCTGCTATGAATTTGGTTGTGTAAATATATTTTCAAGATTCCACTCTCAATTCTTTTGGATAAATCCTCAGTGGAATTTCTGGATCACTGGTGGTTCTATTTTTAATTTTTTTGAGGACCTCCATATTGTTTTTCATAGTACTTGCATCATTTTATAATCCCACCAGTACTGTACAAGGGTTTTAATTTCTCCATATCTTCACCAACATGTCATTTTCTGGTGGTGCTGTTTTGTTTTATTGAAACTAGCCATCCTAATGAGTGTGAGCTGATATCTTACTGTGGTTTTGATTTGCATTTCTCTGATTACTAATGATGCTGAACATCTTTTCATATGCTCGGTGGCCATTTGCATATCTTTGTTGGAGAAATGTCCAAGTTCTTTGCCCATTTTATAAAATTCAATCATTTGGGTTTTTG